TAAAATCGCACAAAAGGCTTCCCTCCCGAGTTGATCAACTCGGCCAAGGATGTGCCTCGGAAAATCGCACAAAAGGCTTCCCTCCCGAGTTGATCAACTCGGCCAAGGATGTGCCTCGAAAAATCGCACAAAAGGCTTCCCTCCCGAGTTGATCAACTCGGCCAAGGATGTGCCTCGGAAAATCACGGAAAAGGCTTCCCTCCTGAGTTGATCAACTCGGCCAAGGATGTGCCTCGGAAAATCGCACAAAAGGCTTCCCTCCCGAGTTGATCAACTCGGCCAAGGATGTGCCTCGTTAAAATCGCACAAAAGGCTTCCCTCCCGAGTTGATCAACTCGGCCAAGGATGTGCCTCGTTAAAATCGCACAAAAGGCTTCCCTCCCGAGTTGATCAACTCGGCCAAGGATGTGCCTCGGAAAATCACGCAATTCCGAGTGAATCCACTCGGTCTTGCTCAAGAAGCAATGCAATTCCGAGTGAATCCACTCGGTCTTGCTCAAGAAGTAGCGCAATTCCGAATGACTCCCTCGGTCTTGCTCATAAGTAGCGCAATTCCGAATGACTCCCTCGGTATTGCTCATAAAGCAGCGCAATTCCGAGTGACATCCACTCGGTCTTGCTCATGAAGCAACGCAATTCCGAGTGACATCCACTCAGTCTTACTCAAGAAGCAACGCAATTCCGAGTGAATCCACTCGGTCTTGCTCGGAAAGCCGCGCAATTCCGAGTGACATCCACTCGGTCTTGTTCAAAAAGTAACGCAATTCTAAGTGACATCCACTCGGTCTTACTCAAGAAGCAACACAATTCCGAGTGAAACCACTCGGTCTTGCTCAAGAAGTAGCGTAATTTCGAATGACTCCCTCGGTCTTGGTCATAAGTAGCGCAATTCCGAATGACTCCCTCGGTCTTGCTCAAAAAGCAAAGCAATTCCAAGTGAATCCACTCGGATTTGCTCAGAAAGCACAGCATTTCCGAGTGACCTCCACTCGGTCTTGCTCATGAAGCAACGCAATTCCGAGTGACATCCACTCGGTCTTACTCAAGAAGCAACGCAATTCCGAGTGAATCCACTCGGTCTTGCTCGGAAAGCCGCGCAATTCCGAGTGACATCCACTCGGTCTTGTTCAAAAAGAAACGCAATTCCGAGTGACATCCACTCGGTCTTACTCAAGAAGCAACGCAATTCCGAGTGAATCCACTCGGTCTTGCTCAAGAAGTAGCACAATTCCGAATGACTCCCTCGGTCTTGCTCGTAAGTAGCGCAATTCCGAATGACTCCCTTGGTCTTGCTCAAAAAGCAAAGCAATTCCAAGTGAATCCACTCGGATTTGCTCAGAAGGCACAGCATTTTCGAGTGACCTCCACTCGGTCTTGCTCATAAAGAAACGCCATTCCGAGTGAATACACTCGGTTTTGCTCAGAAAACAACATAAATCCGAGTGAATCCACTCGGTCTTGCCAAAGAATCAACGCAATCCAGAGTGAATCCACTCGGTCTTTTTTCAGAAGGCAAGTGGCTTTCATTTTTATAAGCCTAAACGTTGATTCGGTTATTTATTACTTGAGTTTTACGTGCAAATTTGGTAAGTATTTTAAATGAAGACTTATTAAAGACAGCAAGAGTCAAAAAGGGACAATATCATTTCATTCCAAAGAGGGAGGCTCTATCGGCCCCCGATCTACAACTAATTAAGCAAAAAGTTAAAGCCTTTACATAAAACTTATCAAAAGCTAAACTACTCCTCGGGGGTTCGAACAGGATCGTCTTGCATGATAGTGTCGAGATTTCCCTCGGTCTTGGTCTCGGGCACTGGATTATCCCCTTCAACGGCGATTTCCTCAGAAGAGGTTTTAGCATCATCTTCTGGTTGGGGGGCAACACCCGGTTCAGCATCATCAGGGTCGGCCCCCTGAGGCATATCAGCAAACGACATCAACGACCCTTAATAAAAATCGCGGGTCATATCAAACTCGAAGCCTTCTTCGAATTGGCCGAAATGCTTGGCTTGCCGAACCGCGTGTTTAAAGCCGGCTTCATGTTGAAAACCAATTTTCTCTTTTGCCTGCTCCTTTAGGCTGTTGTACTCGGCCTGAGCTTCCTCCAGTCGGCGTCGCTCTTCATTAGTTGCCTTTTGAAGGTTCAGGCGAAGAGTATCATTGTCTCGCCGAACAGCATCCAACTCGGCCGCCAGATCCCGATTTTTGGCCGCCGCCGACAGCTCCCGATTTTTGGCTGTCACTTCTTCATTCACCGCGATAGCTTCGGCGGCAGTCCTCTCGGCCTCCTCTAAACTTTGTTTCAGATGCACCACCTCACCGATGGGTTCCATGGCTAGGTGATGGGCTAAGGCCAATGAGCGAGTTTGCACCTCGCAGTAAAGTCTCCACTTGGCTCTTGCATCCAGGCTAGCCAAGAACTCCTGCCCGAAAGGAGACACAATATCAGGCCGAATCATCGTCTCGGCCGACACATCGTCACCAAGAAAGGCACGAGACATTAACTGAGGCGGCACCACAATCACAGTCTGATTGGGTGATGCCTCGGGCACTGACTTGGCCTTCTTAGCACGTTCTGGATTTTCCTCAGCGCTTTTCCTTTTAGGACGTTCCCGACTGGTCTCCTTTCCCCTTTTTCCCTTCTTTTTTTTACGTTCGGGAGAAGGAGGCGTTCGGTCATCATTATCTGGTCGGGGGGTGCGTGCAACTTCCGAAGTGCCTACACCCCCGGCTTTTCTGTCTTGCTTCGCCCGAGCAGCAAGCAAGTTGCGAATGTTCAGCTCGTCGGCGCCACTGGTAACCATGATTCCTGCAGAAAGGGTTAGGTAAACATCAATAGGAATTTAATTGACAGTCGAAATAGGACAGATAACATACCTATCAGGTCATTCCCCCAACGTGAAGATTCAACCAAGTTAATTAAAGACCTAGTCGGCAAGCGCCGAGGAAGACGAAGTAATAACTTCAGGTCCTCCCGCTCTTCGGTCGTCAGCATCTTTTTCGGCACTACGTCGTAAGGCCGAGGGGTACAAGTCCAATATAGTGGAAACAGAGGCTTCTCGTCCTTATCAAAGAAAAAGCGTCGTCCATTAGGCCTGATAGTCACTCGGAAAAATCTGGCCTTGAAGTTTTTATATGATGAAGTGAAACTATCCAGTAGTAGTCGATCCCACACTCGGCTTAAGGAGTGCCACTTCATAAAGACAAAAGGCCGAGACGAGTAGAAATACAGAAAGAGGAGTGGAGAGGGCTTAATGTCAATACACTTCCACAGGTGTTTGAACCCTTGCAATTGCGCCCAGCTATTCGGGTGCAATTGGTTAGGGGCAACGTTCAGCACTCTCAACACCCCCATAGTAAATTCGTCAAACGGCAGCTTGACCT